CGAGAATCGAACGCGATTCCTAGAATTAAACTCAAGATAATTACGAGGAGAGCGGTAAGCCAGTATAAAGTTTAAGGACAAGGAGCTAGGTTATGACGGGGGAAAGGAACAGTGCCCAACCACTTGGACCATCAGGAATCGAACGCCGACCTGCAAGAAGCGAGGCCGATAATTTACCGATCAGTCCAAGTGCATAGAATTCAACTGAGTCATTTGCAAAGTATTGACGTTAGGGAGGTAAATACCCATTGGTTAATATCATCCTATTGACCACATATCTGAGGACCACTCCCTCTAGTGGCTATGATGGTGATAGGAAGCCGGCGGCTTGTCATAGGTCCTCCAGTGTTACTGAGGATTTTTTTTCAACTGGATTATGAACTCAAGTAATGTCTTGGCATGTATGGCTTCAGCGGGTAGGCGGTTCCTTGGGTTTATAATCCTATGGGTGAAAAAGCGTCTCCCATTTTCTGTCGTGCATGGTGGCTTCTTGAACTTGTGCTCCTTATGTACATAACAGGATATCATCAGCGGCGTATGCTACGCTGGCAGATACAAGAAATGGCTTTATGAATCGGAATAGAAATTATTCAGGATCTGCATGCCACGTACGTCAGACCACTTCTGCAATATGTTGCACCAACGTGGAGTTGTAAAGTTGCCAAACAGAAATGGAAGCTGGGGAAAGTTGAGAGGCATGGCACCATACTAGTCCCAGAACAGAGAGGAACGAGTCACGTGATTCATTAAAGGAACTAAATTCTCACATCACTTGAAGAAGATTTAAAAAGAAAACTGTCAGGAGAGATATGATTACCACATACAAAATTCCCAGAGAAGAGAGAGCTGAAAAGGACAGATTATTCGGTATGAGTGATACACAAACAAGAGGACACAGGTGGGAACTACGTACCCAAATGAGACACAGAGACATTATACAGAATATTGGCAGTGACAGTAAAGAATATTGACAAGACAGTAAACAATGGAATACGTTGAGAAGCAAATTGGTGGTCGCAGAATACAGCAGTTTTAAAATGCTGGTGTGATAGAGCCCTGTAGGCCCGCGAGGCTGTTTACTAGCACAGTGAAGGTTAGGAGGCCGGACCATACAGCTGAATTTCAACCACTTGACAAGTAAAATTAAGTGATCAGTTATGTGATAACATAAGCAAAACACAACCAAAACCACCACAACCATTACACAAACACAACCATCACGCCACCACAACCACCACACCACCACAACCACCACACCAACACAACCACCACACCACCACAACCATTACACCACCACAACCATCACGCCACCACAACCATCACGCCACCACAACCATTACACAAACACAACCATCACGCCACCACAACCATTACACCACCACAACCATCACGCCACCACAACCATTACACCACCACAACCATCACGCCACCACAACCATTACACAAACAACCATCACGCCACCACAACTATTACACTACCACAATCACCACAATCAACACAATCACCACACCACCACAACCACCACAACCACCACAACCACCACACCACCACAGCACAACATCCACCACACCACCACAGCCACCACACCACCACAACCACCATACCCACCACACCACCACACCAATACACCACCACAACCACCATACCCACCACACCACCACAACCACCACACCACCACACCACCACAACCACCACAACCACCACAACCACCACACCACCACAACCACCACACCACCACAACCACCACACCACCACAACCACCACAACCACCACAACCACCACACCACCACACCACCACAACCACAACACCACCACAACCACCACAACCACCACAACCACCACAACCACCACACCACCACACCACCACAACCACCACACCACCACAACCACCACAACCACCACAACCACCACAACCACCACACCACCACAACCACCACACCACCACACCACCACCACCACCACCACACCACCACACCACCACCACACCACCACAACCACCACATCACCACCACATCACCACCACACCACCACCACCACACCACCACCACACCACCACAACCACCACACCACACACCACCACCACACCACCACAACCACCACACCACCACAACCACCACACACCACACCAACCACCACCACCACCACCACAACCACCACCACACCACACACACACCACCACACCACCACACCACCACAACCACCACACCACCACAACCACCACACCAACACAACCACCACACCACCACAACCACCACACCAACACAACCACCACACCACCACCACCACCACCACCACCACACCACCACCACCACCACACCAACACAACCACCACACCACACACACCCACACCACCACCACACCACCACAACCACCACACCACCACAACCACCACACCAACACAACCACCACACCACCACAACCACCACACCAACACAACCACCACACCACCACACCACCACAACCACCACACCACCACAACCACCACACCAACACAACCACCACACCACCACAACCACCACACCAACACAACCACCACACCACCACACCACCACAACCACCACACCACCACAACCATCACACCAACACAACCACCACACCACCACAACCACCACACCAACACAACCACCACACCACCACAACCACCACACCACCACAACCACCACACCACCACAACCACCACACCAACACAACCACCACACCACCACACCAACACAACCACCACACCACCACAACCACCACACCAAGTCATGTTAAACTGGACGCCTCACTCTCAGAGACATGCTGCTCAAATTATTGATTTTCGCGCTAAATCTCCTTGACACGTTTCCCACGCAGGACGAGTTAAAGCCACCGTCTTCTTGACCCGGACTGATGGGATGGAGGATGCTGGGATGGGGGATGCTGGGATGGGGAACTCTGGAATAGGGGATGCTAGGATGGGGATGCTGGTCTTATGAAGGTGTGGGTTGCTGCTGTGGCTGACAGAAAGACCAGAAGGCCCTTGATGGGAGCCACGGTGGGTGTACATAGTCTCTGGCCGCCACTTGAAGGATCTCAACAGTGGATGTCAAGCGGACCAAGAAACTCCCACTTACAAGATTTTAATATCTAGAAAGACTGGATGCCAATAGACTTGATGCACAGATGCGCAAGAGTGGAGTGTAAGGAGCGGGGCAGGTGGGGCGGCCAACCACAGGGAAACAGCAAAATCAATCAAGTACAGGCGATTGGAAGGTCAATGCACCTTTGTTCCCATAGCGTCTGAGGACGCATGGTCCCTGGGGTAGAAGCGCCTTGGGATTCCTCAAAGAATTGGGTTCCAGGCTCATTGGCATCACCAGAGACCCAAAGGCTGCCAGTTTCCTGTTTCAGCGCCTCAGTGTGGCGATCCAGAGGGGAAACGCCTGCTGCGTCCTTAGTTCCTATCCGGAAGCGAAGGAGCTCCAAGAGATCCATAACCTTTAAACCCTATTGCATTAACTAATGTACATCTTGTAAACTTTAAATATCTAATAAAGCACAACAAAACACAAAAGGAAAGAAGGTGGTAGGAGAAAAGCACACACAAACTGTATTGGAGGAGACCTAAACATTCCATCTAATGCATTATGTCTGATTTCCTCCGAGGCTAAGGGTCCCCCTTCTTCCAGCCAGAGGTGGTACTTCCTCCCTATTTAAAAAATATATATATATATATATATATATATATATATATATATATATATATATATATATATATATATATATATATATATATATATATATATAATACATATATCTCGTAAATCACTCACACACCCATTCATCCACTTACCCCTCCTCTTCGTCCTCTCATCCAATCGCTCTCCCAACCACTCATTCTCTAACATGTGCGCATCTGTATTTATTCAAGTGTAACATCCCCAAACAAGTGATGTAGATGGCAAGTTTATCTTCCAGTACCGTGGAAACCTGTGTCATGTGCGGTGAGTGAGGCCGCTTGAGTCAGGTTTGGCTGCTTGGGGCTCCACGGCAGGCTACATGACACAAGTTGGGCCACTTGATACATGTTGGGCCACTTGATACATGTTGGGCCACTTGATATAACATGTTGGGCCACTTGATACATGTTGGGCCACTTGATATGACATGTTGGGCCACTTGATATGATATGTTGGGCCACTTGATATGACATGTTGGGCCACTTGATACATGTTTGGCCGCTTGATATGACATGTTTGGCCGGCTGATGCAACGTGTTTGAACGCTTGACACGACATATTTGTCTGCTTGATACATATTTGTCCCCCCTTGACACAAGTTTAGCTGCTTGACACGACATATTTGGCCGCTTGACACATGTTTGGCTGCTTGACATGTTTGGCCATGTGACTACACATATGTAGCATTTATTTGCGTTGCAAGCACATTTTCCTAAGATGTTAAACAGAGTGAAGATTACAGCGAAACCTTCCGCACTGGACTTTTCATAATATTATAATTTGATTGATAAATAAAGTTTTCAGAAATCAACACGAAACAGGTTTCCTTACTATGATGTATGGATAATTGGAACATCATTATATCAACAGTTAAATCATTGTAAATAGAATCCGATGCTTAAAGGCACCCAATATTATTTCCACGGGGTTCCTGTGTTATTTTACGCGCCTGTGTGAAGTTTATACATTACGTCATATGCAGAATATTTACATACTTTGAAGGCTAGCACAGTTTTGAGCCAAGCACAGTTTTGAGCCAAGCACAGTTTTGGGCCAAGCACAGTTTTGGGCCAAGCACAGTTTTGGGCCAAGCACAGTTTTGGGCCAAGCACAGTTTTGAGCCAAGCACTGGTGGATCCATCCCTCACTACGCCGTAATATAGCATATAGTCACACAAAAAGGTCACAATAAACTTATGTAAAGGTCATGTATGCTACAAAATGAATTTTTACAGTAATTTCAACTTCACGTTAATATTAAAAGCTTTATAATGTGTTTTAACACTTATATTCTTTTCCAGGTTGGTAAAAATGTTATCTACCCTAACTTGGGCCAATTTGTGGAAGGCCAAAGCTCTCGAAGGGAGATCTCATACTACCAGTGGGTGACATTCTTCCTGCTGATCGAGGCGCTAGTCATCTACCTCCCACGGCAGATCTGGCACCAGCTCACCCATAGTCAGTGTCTCCCCTTCGATTTCACCAACCTTCGACGTCGCGAAGACTGGGAGGACAAAAAGAATTTCCTGGTTTGGCATATGAAACAGACGAGGGGCAACCACGAGTACTGGCTGTGGCAATATCTGCTGACCGAACTCTTGGCGATTGCCCTGCTCGCTTCCTTCTTCATTCTCACTGATGTGTTCCTGGGAGGCGACTTCTACAACTACGGGCTGGACTGGGTCAACTTCATGCACAATGCAACTAACACTACCATCTCTCCCATGACAGCACGTTTCCCGCGTCTGACTGTGTGCAAGCTACAGTACCACAGTCGTGGAGGCACTATCAACAGTTACTACCCACTCTGTCTCCTTCCCATCAACTGTTTTAATGATAAGATCTTCCTGTTCCTGTATTTCTGGTACTGCATGTTGTTTGGGCTGTCACTGCTGCGGGGGCTCTACATGCTGGTGCTCGTCACCTGCAAACCGGCTCGGCGGTTGCGTCTCAAGTTCAGCGCTAAGCTGGTGCCCGAAGATACTTTGGACCGGTTCATTAATGCTCACAATCTCAGCGACTGGTTTGTGCTGTGCAATCTCGCACCCACCATGGACCCTGTACTCATCGCTGAACTTGTCACTCAGCTCGTGTACGAGGTGCAAGGAGGAGAAAGTTCCGACTCCAAACCGTCCCGCCTCGGAAAGCAAGAAAAATCGCTTCAGTCTGTAAATTACATATGAGATTCAGCGCCGCGCGCTTCCCCACACTCGCATTCACACTGCCTTCCCAATGGCCACCCCAGCTACGGATTCCGTGCAAGTCCGAACCCGTACGGCCAGTATCATAACCGCTACCCACCCGTTCACGGGTACGGCACCGCCTATTCCAACGGCCACTGCGAGGGGCTGTAAGTGTGGTTGGTTCCTGCCTGGCCTCTGTGAGGTCCTCCACCCGTCAGACCTGGGCCACGGCAGTGCACAGGGCTCGGCCCAGCCCCCTGCGTCACCTGGACGCCTGGGGCTGCAGAACCGCACGCAGGGGAAGGCGCCGCGCTACTCTCATACCGCCGCACTACCACGTTGGGGCCCGCTGTCCACCATACACCTGGTGTACTCTTCAAGCCCAGCCTGGGATGGTGGGCTGCGGCGCTCCGCCAAAGTAACAGAATAAGCAACAGTAACAGCAACAGAGCAGAACAAGAGCGTGGTCGAGCCCTGAAGTTCGCCATGAGACCTGCCACCACAACGCAGAAGAACGGTGGACGACCTTTGCACCTGGTTCGCCCATCGACGACTACACACCAGGGCTTTGCAACACCGGCACTCTGCGTCTCCAACATGGGGACCTCTCGGTGATAAATATCGTTGAAATTTGAATCTGTTTGTTATGTTACTGGCATGAGTTTATCGGAAGTATTCACACAGAGATCTTGGTCACTGCTGCACTGGTTGCAAACTTGCAATCAGCCAACGGCTCTTGTTAAGTCACTTTTTTTTCATATAGTGAATCTAATCTTTAAAGGACTGTTTGTGTGTATTTTATAAGCTCGTAGATCTTTTGTTTTGCTTACTTGTCTAAGCTGTGTAGCTGACTGGTGATATTACAAGACAATGTTTTCTGTATATGAAAGAGTTTTATCAGTATTTAAAGTATTCTTCAGTATTATGAATGAGAACATATACTAAGATAAAGTAGTATATTATATATATATATATATATATATATATATATATATATATATATATATATATATATATATATATATATATATATATGTATGTATATATATATGTGTATATATATATACATATAAAGTTTTGCTATTTGTTTTGCGTGTGGCCTGTCATAGTGCTTCTTGTTCAGTAAACTCAAAAACAGAAACACAGTGGAATACGCTGGTTCTTACTGGGTGAGGCGGGCACGGTGACCTCGCCCGACAACAGTGCACATGTGGGCGACCAGACACGTGGCGCCCCCACCCTCCCCTCACGCCCGCCCCCCACCCGCCACCGTCACATCCACTACCCTCAGAACTCTTGTCAAACAAGACTAAAACACTCGTCAGACTCATAGCACGAACTCTTCAGTCCTCTCATGGACGTATCACACAGACAAACCTGCAGGAATTATGTGTTAAAATATATATTGTGAGCATCTTGAAAGGCTATATACATAAATATATAAGTGTTAATGTGGATGTTGGATGGGTGGTGAGGGCTTACCTGTGACGAGGCTTGGCGCATGCGTGTAAGTTGCCCACTGCGGGCTTCCTGGATTTTGGGCGGGTTTTTTTTATTTTTTATTTTTTGATTGATCACTCACGCCCCCAGCCCTGATAGCGAGAGACTCTGCCACGTATCACACAGCGCGATCAATATTGAATATCGTGAATGGATCTGTGCGGTTATAAATTTAAACATAAGTTGACGTTCCCGCAAAGTTACGAATATAATACTAGCATATTCCTTCCCCCCCCCCCTCCCCCCAACCCCCTCCTCTCCCTACTACTAATTTCTAAGACATCGACATGATGGCCATTCTCTTCTCGTTGAAGCTGTACGCAGTCCGGAGTGGACGTGAAGGTAGTAGTACTGTAATTAACCTTTACAGGTGTGTGACCTCTTTCCACTGCCCCTCCGACCTACCCCCCTCCTTCCCACCCATGACCTCACACCAGTTTAGGTTACATGACCCTTATGTTTACTAGTCAGCCGGGGCGGCAGGCAAGTAACACGTGTTTACACTTGTATAAAACACATTGTTTTCTCACATTCTTTATGGAGATTATATAAAAAAATACAAGATTTTTCTATTGTTTTGTTGTGATGTGCATATTTCATATGTACCGGTGTCTTTTTTCCAGCTAGGTGAAATCGAATTTTACTAGATCATATTTATGTTGTCTGTTCAATATGATGTTTATATATCCTCACACCAGAATGTTATTAGTTTTAGCTTCTTAATGGAACTGCGCATTAATTCTCTATAAGTAAAGAAAGTTACAGTAGGGAGTTGCTTGATAACACTTGCTTAGTTGATCTGTAGCCACTCTCGGTGTAGAACTCTCCATGACAAATCTCTCTCTTTCTCTCTCTCTCTCTCTCTCTCTCTCTCTCTCTCTCTCTCTCTCTCTCTCTCTCTCTCTCTCTCTCTCTCTCTCTCTCTCTCTCTCTCTCTCTCTCTCTCTCTCTCTCTCTCTCTCTCTCTCTCTCTCTCTCTCTCTCTCTCTCTCTCTCTCTCTCTCTCTCTCTCTCTCTCTCTCTCTCTCTCTCTCTCTCTCTCTCTTTCTCTCTTTCTCTCTTTCTCTCTCTCTCTCTCTCTCTCTCGCTACATTTATGATCCTCCTTGACCATATATGTGAACCGCTCCAGTGTTTTGACTTTACGGCAAGAGCAGGTACAATGTGTAATCTTGAAACAACAGATCATTCTATAGTGTATGTTCGATAGATCTATAGATCATTCTATATTGCAGGACACAACCTTGTGCAGACACATTATGATGCTATGATCCCAGATGCTGTTGGTGTAAAATAAAATATGTACATTAGTCTAATAAGCTCTTGGCACTGGAGTAGTTTGGATGTGTGGTCGTCAAGTCCCACCAGCAGACGCAGACTCTGGCCCCTGTAGTTGTGGTCAAGCGGTCTAGGACTTCCCCCTTTGTTGTATATGTAGAATGGGACCTTTTTGTATTCATGCTGCCAAGATGTGTATCTAAAGAACCTGGTGCCACTATTGTTAATAGTTCTTTCATTATACACAATGATCACATGATCAACTATGTTTCACTGTAAGTTGATAATCACCATTTAGCACCCAGCCTGGCCTATTCCTAAACCTAGATCGTGTGAGGTGTCCCTATTGCATCCTCGACCAGATATACTACCTATTCACAATTATCCCAATTGAACCATCGTACCCGCAAATGACCATTTAGTGACCCCTTTGTCCTACTCTCCCCAGAGATAACATATATTCCTCCTCAACCATCAATACATACTCTAGAAGTGGCACCAAGTTCTGAACACACCCACTTAAGTCTCCCAGTCAACCCTACCAGGGGGGAGGGAAGGTTAGCCCAATGAACCCTTACAGTCAATCTTGCTGGGAAGAGGAGGGAGGCTGACTGGTACATCCCTCGCAGCCTAACCAGTCTCTAAGGTTCAATCATTTGTTTTCCCAAACAGATTTAGCATCAAATATGTTGCAGTTTAGTATTAAAGCTCTTGCAGTCTAGTTTCCTGTCAGGTCTGTAGTAATTCATCATGTTAGATTACTTGCAACAACAGATAGGAAAACTTCAAGATACTGTAAGATGTCTTTTACGGTGATATTTAATAAATCGATACTGAAGCCTTTGAAGGCAAACTTGCTGTCAAGGGGAAAAGTGTCACAACTCAAGCAGTCAGCCTCTTTCTGGGGAGGGTACGGTCATTTGTCATGACTTTAGTCAGTCTTGTTAGGGGGAAAACATTAAATAATGCAATTCTTAGATTAAACTATTGTGGAGGAATCACCTATCTCTGCTAGTGAGCTGTGCTAGTCAGCTAGGCTAGCGGACCCGTTGTCATCACTTCGCTAGTAATTAACCTAACAAGGTAAACATGAACTGATGAAATAACATGTACTGGGTTGAGCTGCTGCAAGGCAGTCATTCCTGTATGTGTAAATCTTCAATAAAGTTTACCTCAGACTGTTGTGATAAAATTATGGACAATAGAAGCTACTAGTTTTTTTGCTGTTGACAGAAATAATAACTATTCCTAGTATCAAGTCATTAATGTACCCTAAAAAACTTGTTTCTGGTCATGTTAAGGTGTGGACATGGGCTTTGTAAGCCTTTACTGGAATCTAAGTTAAAGTGGGCATCATATGTTGTAATATATCATTATATCGGTGTCACTTCAGACTGTATGTACATTATTTAGGGCAACTTGTGGCTCTTAAGTCACCTCTAGGGTATTATTGTATATAAGCACGAGTGCTTTCTCAATGGTTCAATGACTCTTTTATAACACACAACAAAATATATATGTACAGTATTCAAACTTTATTGAAGTAATACACACTTTTAAGGGTCGTGATTGGTTACAATGCGTTTTAGATTGTAAGTTATGTAATGTCTAAGGAAAGGGGAAGGGGGGGGGCGGTGTTAAAGCAAGATTGGCTGTTGGGTGACGAGGCATTTTAGGGTTGATGGTGAAGACATGTAGAGTTATATCCTGACAGTTAATTGTTTGTAACCCGTACGAAACCTAGATACATAAAACATACTACCTTATTCAGGGTTAGATCTCATTTCAGAAGTTAAAATTTATAGAAACTTTTTCGGCCTAAGTAACATAACACAAACTGAATAAAAGCATCACTGAATACCTTGAGGTTGTTTACAAACAGTGGCTTCCTGGGCTGTGACCCCAGTTGACCCCCAGAGCAAGGAAGGCGCTCCGTGGTCAGCTGGTGACATGACCTTGACCAAAGCTGCCCTATGACGATACCAACAAGGTCACTCTACAACCACTTGGGATTTGACAATGAAAAAAAAATATATATATATATATAGTTCTCTAAGTATGAACTGTTAGATATTGTAACAACTTGTTATAACTTTTGTGAACACGGTAGTGGGATATTATATTTACAACAGGTAGTCAGTATATGCTATTTTTTAGGTTCAGTAGACAGAGACGTTGTGTGTTTTATATATATATATATATATATATATATATATATATATATATATATATATATATATATATATATATATATATATATATATATATATATATATATATATATATATATATATATATATAAAACTCTAGGTGATCTATTTTGAGTGTACTCCTTCTAAATGTTCATGTGGCTCCTGAGTTATTGATCAAATGTGCTGTATACAGTTAGTGTTGGGAGTTAGGTCATGGTGTCTATCATTGCTGTCAGTTTGGTCATAGGATAACTTATGAACTAGTTCCTTTGCGTGATGTCCTTTATTTATGTTTATTTGTATGCTAAATCTATTTTTATCATGCTTATTAATTCATTGTTCTGATGATATTTAAAGTACAGCACTAATATTTGTGTACCGATATATTTGCCAATCTTATATTACCACAATTATATATTACTCCTTAAATTTTATTGGCCTTTTACTTAACAGACATACATGACCTACATATATGACCTGACTATCAGTCATAATTGTACTTAACAGCGACAGATATGACCAAGTCAGCATTGTAATGAACTGACAGATATGACCAAGTCAGCATTGTAATGAACTGACAGATATGACCAAGCCAGCATTGTACTGAACTGACAAATATGACCAAGTCAGCTTTTAGTGGTTCAAAGGTACGGCTTCAGATAGCTTTATATAGGACTGATTTTCAAAGGTGAAGCCAGCCGCAGGGTTGGAATTTGTAAAAGGTATCTAAGGCCAATTCATCTGAACCCATCATTTAATTAGTTAGTAGTGTCAATTACTTTTTTTCAATGCTTGATGATTGAATTTCTAAATGTTATTCCACTTTCTAAACAAACATATTTTCTCTACGCGTGATGAAAACATATTTTAACACATACCATCTGGGGGATCTTTCAATGTCAAAAACTTGACTTGCCTTAATTATTATTCTATTAATGTTGTTCATTTACTGGCATTCCAAGTCTATTTTCCACATTCACATTGACACCTTTAATGCGTCTCTGTCTACCG